TCGAAAGCTAGTTATTTAATTATATCTTCTACACCTTTAGAGCTAGAGCTTCCAAATTTTAAGTGTAGACTTATGTGTATTTTATATAATTTCGGTTTTTGTTGTAATTTACACACATCGGCCCCCACTCCTAAATTTACCCCCTCACCCTCACCTTTGTAAAACACATATTTCAAGTACTAGAGACTTTGGAACGAAAATACATTTGAACATTATGAAAGTTTCATTAAGACTCTACGTCTAGAAATTAAATTATTCAACAAAAAAATTCTCAAAATATTGTCAACACTGCAGCGCAAGCCAAGCGCAATCGCCTGTTTATGAGCGTGTGTGTGTGCTTGTGTTTGTTTGGATGCGAGTGTGTGTGTGTTTGTGTTTGTTTGGATGCGTGTGTGTGTGTGTGCGTATTATTTTTGAAATATCTGTTGCTCGAAGGGTTCATTGGATCTCGTAGTCGAACAGTCTCGACTAGAGCTTTCTTACTTGTTTTTAAACTTTTCGCTTTTATTTTGCCACAAAGCCGACTCATTTTGAAAAAAATCAAATAATATTCTGTTCAGCCTGTCTTTGCTGTCCGAAATATTTCTAGAAATGATGTTCGTGCGAGCACTCGAATCCATTGTCGAACATGTTTGCACAAACACCCGTAAGATTTCAATTTTCTTGGGAAATGTTCGTACGAACACTGCTAATCACATTCGAATATTTGACGAGCACAACATGTTTCTTTAGCAAATTCGTCTGTAGATACTTTATCGATTTTTTAAATTTGAGAAAATTTATCTTGTCAGTCTTCGTATGTAAGAACGTGTAAGCACCACCACCATTCCATTTAAAAGGGAAGCTGATTTGAATGATAACTTTAACTTTCCACATATTGGCTTATTAAACACTTAAAGAATTAAGCAAAAATCAAATTGCATACAATAAATATACAAGATACATATAAATAAATTAATTTCGGTAGACTAAATAGTTTTTAATTATTTGTGAAACCTTAGAATCTTTAACTTTCGGTCGGTTTTGTTTCCAAAAATCGATTCCTTCTTCCAGTTGATGTTATTGATTAAAATCCCTATCGAAATTTGGTTATAAAATTATCAATCTTTTAAGGTAGTCTACAAATTCTAAGTCTAGATTCACTTGTATTTTATAGAATTTTGATTTTTCATATAATCTTTCCTCTATAAACAATGTGGCTCCCAAATATACCTCTAACCTCAAAGTTTGTAAAAAGCGTACTTCTAATACATTTTCGGCAAACTCACGCATATTTATCACGATCTGATTGTATGAAGATATCTACAAGAAAAGTTATTAAGTTATTAAGCTTCCATAGCCATCTCACATTGAGACCCATGCGTGTATATGGTTGTTTCTTGTGTAATCAGAAAATAAAGAATTATTGAACTATATGTTCCTCGAAGGGCTGAGGGGATCGCGTCGTCGAGCAGTTTTATTGTATTAATCGTCCATTTATATTTTCAGCCTAATCTTCTCTGCGTTTGTTGCAGTACTTAATGTGGTTGAATATTTTTTTAAAAAGATAACGGAATCGGATACTGAAATATTACAGCACATTCGTAAGTCTAAAATAACTATATTTTATATAAAAATATATGTATGCTTAATAAGGGTAAACTATTCAGCTTTAAAACACTTTCTTTAAACCTATTAGCATCAATTTTAAACTTTAATTTTGTAAATCATGAGGTTCAATCTCAAATTGCTTATATATTATTTTACAGATATTCCAAGCAGCTATAAAGTTTCAAATACTTGGATTAATGGCCAAGATTATTATAGGTTGGATGGAAAAACGCCCAAAAACATTAGACACGAAATGATAAAACGTTTTAACAGTGAAGCCAACAGACGAGCTCGAGTTTTCCTGATATCTGCCAAAGCTGGAGGCCAGGGAATAAATCTAACTGGTGCAAATAGAGTTATAATATTGGACACTTCATGGAATCCTTCTAATGATCAACAAAATATTTTTCGAATATTTCGATTGGGCCAGAAAAAAAACTGTTATATATACCGTCTACTAGCAATGGTATGTTGAAGCTATGTTAAATAAACATTCATGTAAGATAATAATCTTACACAGGGAACGATGGAAGAAAAAGTCTACTCACGATCGGTCACAAAGCAAGCAATGAGCTTTCGAGTTGTTGATGAGCAGCAAATTGATAGACATTACAACATGGCAGAATTGGCTGAGCTTTACACGTAAATGATTCTTTTGGAAACTAAATATTATATGAAATAGTTAAATTCGTAATCGTATTCTAAAATTCAGGTTAACTGTCCCTAAGCAATGTGAAAGGACAATGCCTGTATTACCAAAAGATACCATACTAGCACATCTTTTACGGCAATCGGAGTTAGTTTATAAATATCATGAACACGATAGTCTTTTAGAGAATAAAGTGGAACAAGAACTAAGTGAGCAGGAAAAAGCTGATGCTTGGGATACATATGAAAAAGAATTACAAATGAATTTGGGTATGTACATAAATCCATGACTCTTGTCTATTAGCTTTAATATACATCAATATTTTTTTAATAGCTCAACAGGAAGGATTTAATGCCGAAAAGTAAGTAAAGCTATACTAATATTATTCACAAATAAAATATGTCAAATTACTGCAGGACTCACAATTCTATTCACCCCGCAAAGCTGGCGTCATATTTGGGTTCTGTTCCAAGTCTTGATGTAAGTAATATTCTTTATTAAGTGCTTTCAAGAAATTTCCCAAAGCGCGTCATATGTATAGCGATGTTTATTACGTGTTACATTTCTTACAAATATATAAGTATGAGCTATCAATTTAAAAATCTGGACTTCACTGGAGAAGTTTTTATATACTTGATTGATATTTTCGGAAGTTCTATAAAGTGTTTGTTTAATTGTCCTGAAAATACCTCGAGCGAATACCAATTATGAATGTGGATTGCTTGCGCACTATATATAAATATGTTATTGAACGGATACACAGAAAACAAGTATTATAATCAACATTTTTTTTTCTTTTTAGATGCAAACCCTATTAAGTTATAGTCTGCAATCTGCGTCACTTATGCCACAGTACAGTTATGGATTAAATCAAAACTATATAGATACCTTAAATTTGTATCAAAAGTATACATCTCTGCGTTACCCGGATATGAACTCATGCATTGAAAACAACTTTGGTCCATCCCCTTTTAACGTGCTTGGTACGCCAAGTCGCTTGCCATCAAATCCCTCAATTTTGTCGCATATGCAAAATATTACCAATTCTAAATCACAGGGTATAGACTCAACTTTATTTGATACACAAAAAGGTCGTAGTAGCTCCATGAATCATTCCCAATTTCACCATTCGATTCCTTCAGAAACAACATCACTGGAGAACTTATCAGTAAATTCCAACTCAAATAATGTTCTTGCTAGTTTAGGTCCTTATAAGCAATTACTTGAAAACCCGCTATCAAGTCTATTAAACTATGTTCCCCAGGGTTACTCTTCATCCGTTCCACCTGAAAACTTACATTCAAATTTAAAGGTTGGTTTTAACACTTTTCCCAGTTTACTTTATCCAGACAAGCCTCTAGATGAAATCGAAAGTATGAATATGAAAGAAAAAACAACTAAATCAAAGCAATCGGTTGATCACAATATTGTCAGCTCAGTCGATCTTACATCTCCATCGCCAGTTAGTGTGCCGGTCAGTAGCTCACTCTCAAAGACATCAGTGCATTTAAAAAAACAGATAACGCTTACAAGTTCAGTTGATAATACTAAGTCAACGCTTGGCAGTGACTCAATAACAGCCGCTGCAGCGAAAAATACCGCTTCATCTTTGAAAGGTGGTATGACTTTTTCATCAACATATCCTAGTGACGCTAGTTCATCCATTTCAAAAGATTATTTAAAAAGGAGCTCTGAAATGCAAATAATACCAACAACAAGTCCTCCTGGTACAAGTAGTATTACAAAGCAGCTGAATGAAATATCTCCCAGCATATCTCTTACCGCTGTTAACTCATTAACAGAGAAAACAAAATCTCGCAGGCAAACCGTTCAAAAGAGTTCTTCCAACTTAACTGTCAATAATAAGCAAAATACAAATCTTTACAAATCGAAGAATACTTTACATCAGAATATATCAGCATTATCGAAAGCTTCGTTGGCTGCAGTTAGCGATGGTACCACTGACTACAATACATCAATCAACAGAAGTAGCGCGGAATCAATGTCAAGTAATTCTAAGGCATTGACGACAGTGAATAAAAATTTTTTGCCCGAATCATTCTATAAAAGCAGGACCATAAACGCAACGCATAATAAATTAAACAGTAGTTCTCGTTTACCTACAAATGTTGTTAAGCAAGGTCAAGGCTCAAGCGACGGTAGATTTCTCACTAGTGACCTAGTTCCAATGGCAACAGAAGTACAATTGCCAGGGTAAGAATACATATATGCTTATGTTATTAAGTAATTATTCTATTAAAATTTCAGAGAAAAGGCTAACAGTCCTTCGAGAAAGAGGTCTACTGAAAGTCCAAGGGAAAATATAATTAGTAAACGCACTAAGCTATAATGTAGTATTTTATCTATTGAATTAGAATACATATAAATATTCCTTTGTAACAACTAATACTGATTTTGATCAGAATTGATCAACTGTGACTATGTTTATGAGATTATACATTTTAATTGTGATTAAATTTTAATTTAATTTCGGATACAATTTTTAAATTACTTAGAAAAATCAACAAAAGTAAAATAAAACAAGTAAGAAAGCTCTAGTCGAGAGTGCTCGACTATGAGATCCCCTGAACTATTCGAGCAAATGATATTTCAGCAATAATTCGCACACACACACACATACAAGCATATACAGGCGACTGCGCTTGGGTTGCGCTGCAGTGTTGGCATATTATAAGAATTTATTTATGGAATAATTTAATTTCAAGACGTAAAATAATGAAACTTACAGAACGTAATCATAATGTTCAAATGTATGTACATTCCAAAGCACAAGTCTCTAG